TTAAAATCAATGTCAGGTCATATTAAAAGAATTAGAGATAACATTGCTTGGATTCAAGGTAGTAATCAAAGAATACAAGATTGGTTTAGATTTCTACAAGCATGTAATCAAAATCCTAGAGCATTAGCCTTAGATATGCCCATAAGATGGAACTCCACTTACATAATGCTTGAACAATGCATCCCCTATAAAGATGCTATAACAAATTATGTTAGTGCAAAATTAGGAACATGATTTATAGATGAAACTGATTGACAAATTGCCGAACTTTTGTATAACTTTTTAGGTAGATTTCATGAAGTTACCTTAAAGCTTAGTGGAACTTATTACCCAACTTCACCATTAGCATCAGGAGAACTTTTAAGAATGTATATTTTATTTAGTGAATTTAGGACACATGAAGTTTTAGGAGTTCCTATCGCCTCTATGGAAAAAAAATTTAAAAAATATTGGTCTAAATTACCCATGTTGTATGGTTTCGGTGTTATTTTTTACCCTAGATTAAAATTAGAAGGTTTAGAAAGTGGATTAGATAACTTAGGTGAATTTTTAGCTATAGACACTACTGACCAGTTTCCTATTATAAAGGAAAAAATATATTCTCTATATATCTCTTACGAAAGTAGGTTTAGAAACACACCTCGTGTTGAACAACCGCAACAACGAGACGACAATCCGCATTCATTCTTGAATGTTTTCGGGTTGTCTAAGAAGAAGAAGAAGAAGACGACGACGACGAGTCAAGGTCAAGAAGAATCTGGGAGTGGAAGTGGATCTTCATCAAGAGGTGGCGGCAGATTCAACGAGTTAATGGCATACCTGAGTGATGGCTTAGTTGTAGACAGTAGTGAGATGTTTGATTTGGTTGAGTGGTGGAGGGCACGATCATTAACTTGGCCGATCCTAACACGACTGGCAATGGATATTTTTTCAATCCCGGTCTCCATTGTTGCAGCCGAACAAGCATTCAGTACAACCGGCCGAATACTTGAAGAACGGAAAAACGCATTGCAGCAGGATATTGTTGAAGCTTTGGTGTGCATCAAGGATTGGGACCGTTCCGACCAACGCTTAGAAACACACTTCGTGTTGAACAACCGCAACAACGAGACGACAATCTGTATTCATTATTGAATGTTTTCGGGTTGTCTAAGAAGAAGAAGAAGAAGACGACGACGACGAGTCAAGGTCAAGAAGAATCTGGGAGTGGAAGTGGATCTTCATCAAGAGGTGGCGGCAGATTCAACGAGTTAATGGCATACCTGAGGGATGGCTTAGTTGTAGACAGTAGTGAGATGTTTGATTTGGTTGAGTGGTGGAGGGCACGATCATTAACTTGGCCGATCCTAACGCGACTGGCAATGGATATTTTTTCAATCCCGGTCTCCATTGTTGCAGCCGAACAAGCATTCAGTACAACCGGCGGAATACTTAAAGAAAGGAAAAACGCAATGCAGCAGGATATTGTTGAAGCTTTGGTGTGCATCAAGGATTGGGACCGTTCTGACCAACGCTTACACGATACAATCTCACCGGCAAACCAAGAATGGATCAACGAATTTAATAGATTAACTTTTAATTTTCAAGATGATCATTCTGCTTCATCTTGATAATTTCTTTGTAAATATTTATTTACTTTGTAATTTCTAATTTGTATAGTGTTTATTGTAATCTTGTATAGACTTTGTAAGTTCATCAAATTTGTAATTCATCCCACAATGATTGCACTCTTTTTTCCTTAAATTGGGTTTTTCTTGGTAAGGTTTTTAATGAGGCAATCATGAATTACAAATTTAAAATCAATGAAGAAGTAATTTTTTTATATAGTTCGTTCGTGTGTTCAGTGTTCATTTCATATTTCAAATTGTAATATACACATTGTAATTATACAAATACTTATTTCAACAACATAAAAATATAATATAAAAAAAAAATCGGGCAGCCGGTCGGGCATCGGGCAGGCATCCTCTGCCCGAAGCCCGTTCATGGTAATTTTTGGGTCGGGTCGGGCAGCCTGAAAATTCGGGCAGATCGGGTTTGGTCATCGGGCAAAAATTCAGACTTTTCAGTGGTCACGGGCGGCTCGTCCAAAGTTTCAGCACTAGGTGGGGCATTCGATCTCATCATTTATGGTGTAGTCAGACGTGTAATTATTTTTATGTTATACCTACAGCCACATTTATCTTGTGATTTTACATGTTCTTTTGTCTAAAAAACTCAAAAAAAGACAACTTAAGTTTTAACTTTATTCAAGTTCACGTTATTTTAAGTTTCAACTTTATTCAATTTTACTCAACTTTATTCAAGTTCTAACTTCAACTCAAGTTATAACTCAAATTCAACTCAAAAACTACACTCAAGTTACACTCCAAAAGAACAATCCTTGTAAAGTTAACATTTTTTTTTGAGATAAAATCATTTTTACTTTTATAGTAAAATATCTCGTTAATATTCTGTATTTTTAATAATATTAAAATAATACTTTTACTTATAAAAAAAATGTTTTTTAATATTTTAAAATCAATTTTTAAGACGTATAATGTCCAAACTGTTATTTTCATTATTTAAGTAGAAACTAATAACTTTAACAATATTTACTAAAAACATTTGAACTTATCTCAATTTTTTAACTTTTAAATGTTTTAAAGTATTTCAATATATATTTTTTAAATTATCAATTCGTGAGAGTAGTAGAATGAATATTTTATGTCTTAAAAATCAATATCAAAATATTAAAAGAACATTTTTTTTTACAACTGAAGTTATTATTTTAATATTATTAAAAATATAAAAATTAATATGCTTCGCTGTAAGAGAGGATACCAATTTGATTTTAACTTTTTTTTTTGGGCTAGTAAAAGAGTAAAGTAAACATTGAAAACAATTTTATAGGCCATTTAAACAGGTGTATAGATTATTGGCTAAAACGAATGGAGAATTATTTAGGACTTTAGAGTTTCTAAAAAAATTTACTGATAAAATATTATAGTTTGATTTTTATAATATTTTTTAAATAATTAGATCTGGAGAAAAAATAATATTATATGGTGCGTTATAAATTTTTAATACGTATTTACGAAAATATGGCTGTTAAAAACTTTAAATTAACGGTCAATACAGGGTGGTTTTTTTTCAACGAGACTGTAGAGGCTCCCCATACTTCAGTTTAGCGTAATACTGCGGATTACGATAAAAACAGCTCAGTCAGTGCACACACTAGCCGCGTGAGAGGGAATCATGTACAGCCACCAATACTTGACTTAACCATTCAGATACGGACAGGCTGGCATTGAAAGGAGGGAGAGTCATCGCTCAAATATTTGAAAAAAAAAAAAAAAAAAAAAATCGTCAGAAGAAGTATACGTTAAATGATTTTTTGATTTTTTTCTTCAAATTAATACGTTAAATGCTCTTGCTCTCGTCATATTGCTGATAAGTACCTTTTCAATTATTTATGACAAGGCAAAAGCAAAAGTACTATAATATTCCAGGAGAAATTCAAATCTTGGGTTTATCTAATTATGAAGGATTTGTGTACCTTGTAGTGATTATTTCATTCTTTTTATTTTTGTGATTGTATAAAACGGGTACAGCCTAAATCGGTATTATGATGTGGAAACTAGGAGTAGTAATATTAGAGAATTGCAGTGCCTCCTTATTATGATGGGCATGATAAAAGAAAAAAAAAGAAGGAAATACTTTTTTTTTTTTCTTAAAAAAAGGAAATTCCATCATTTCATAGTAGGGTATGTTTTTATAAACTACCAACAAGAATTATTATTTAACTGTTAAATTAAGTATTTAATGGTATGATTTGTGGTTAGAGTAATTCTTTCGCGTAGTATAAATTTTTAACATAAATACTAACAAATGAGACATTGAAAAGTTAATTTAATAGTGAGTTCAACAGTTTTTTATAATAGTTAAAAGAAAAGTTCCTTTTATAGAAGTTCCATTTAGTTAAAAAAAAAGTAATTCGTCTTGTGCATGGAGCATCATCATTTCTTTATCTCATCAATTCTTTTAAATAAAAGGTGTTTTTCTGATAGGACTTAAAAGATGAACTACAAATAATTTTTTATTTTTTAATTATTAGATATGTATTAAAAATAATTTTTTTATATATTTTTTTCATCTGATTTAATTTTAACTAGATTTAATGATTAAAAATTGACTTATTGATAGACCGGCCTATCAAAGAAGGTCATAATAGAAAAAGTAACCTTCACTATTTGGCCTTTCCTTTTGTATTTTTTTTTCATTTTCTTTTCCCAATTCCAATACAACATATTATATATTTAATGGACATTTTTTAATATACTAATATATTAATAGACTAAGTTTTTTATCTGTTATATTTGCGTAAAATCACATAAAAATTAAAAATTATATAGATTTAATGATTAAAAACTTAATAACATATTAGAGAATCTCTATAATTTAATATATACGGTTCATGATGTCTCGACTAATGAGACTAATATATAGCAAAACAAAAAAGAGGTCACTATTGGCTGGTTTCCCTCCCTCTTCTTGCTTATTTATTTATTTGTTTATTTCTTTGAAAGATCCTCTTGTTTTTTTATTTATTTATTTTGCCGGTATATTTTCAAAAAAAAAAAAGAATAAATAAATAGGACATATTTTCAATCATTTGATGATTAGTTGAGTAAAAATAGAAGTAAATACCATGATATTATTAATTATTTTATATAACAGTATGTATAATTTATAAATAATTTCTTTTTATACAAAACCATTGTTATCCAGAATAGATATAATATTACACGACTTTTTATTCTTACATATTGTTGTTTTTTTTTATTCTTTTAGACAAAATATATCTTTTTTTTTTTTAGTCGATTGTAGTAAAACCAAAATGGTAAGTGAGCGCAATGGAACTTTCCCCAGCAACACCGCGTAAAACTCAACCCTCAAAATTCTCAAAAATGTCCCTTAATACCTACACATAAAACCCCCTTGGAAAAGCTCTACTCTTTTCACACTTTTTTTTCTCTCTTTCCTTTTCCCTCTCTCTCTCTCTCTCTCTCCTCTCTCTGAGGCTGGACAATGCAATATACATAGACAGACAAACCCTCCCGTTTGTTTCCTTTTATTTCCTCTGCTCATTGTCGTCTCCTTCAACAACTCCGTAATTCTCTCTCTCTCTCTCTCTCTCTCTGCAACAAAACAAGCCAAACAAGCGAAGCCCACTTTCATCACAGAAAAAAGAAGAAAAGCTTGTATTGGGAAGCCGGCATTTGGGTTTTCCCAGTTCAAAACACCAACTGGGTCTGAGTCCTTGAGTGGAATTGTTAAAAGGGTCCGTTTCAAATCTTACTCATTCACAGGTATTATTGAGTTCGGACTCGGTCTTTCCTCTCATTATTTTATTACCATCATCATCATCATCATCATCATTTGCTTTTATAAAGCAAGAGTTGGTATCCGTTGAAATCGTCACGCAAATCCGGTGAAGAAGAGGGTCAGTTTTTCTTCATACAGGTAATCTTTTACACCTTCTTTCAGAGAGAGAAACAGAGAGAGAGAGAGAGAGAGAGAGAGAGAGAGAGAGAGAGAGAGAGAGAGAGACGTGTTATAACTTGTTTTTTCTTCTTCTTTCTGAAAATCCCAGGTTTGGTTTTATTAAGTTATGCCATGGCTTCTTCTGGGTCAAACTTCAAGTTCCCAAACAGAGGTCCGAGCGTGATTCACCACAACCAAAACAGCAATGACTTCGACAGCGAAGCCGGGAGCGTGGAGTTCACTTCCTACACGGTCCAGATTCCATTGACGCCCGACAACCAGCCGATGGAGATCGCCATGGAAAGGTCGGCCTCGCAGAGAGTGGAGGACCAGTACGCCTCCAGCTCGCTCTTCACCGGCGGCTACAACTGCGTCACCCGGGCCCACCTCAAACAAAAAGTCATCGACTCCGAGGCCGCCAACACCCACCCGCAGATTACGGGGCTGAAAGGCTCCCCCTGCGCCGTCCCCGGCTGTGACTCCCGCTGCCTCACCGACGAACGGGGACTGGACATCGTCCCCTGTGAATGTGACTTCAAGATTTGTAGGGACTGTTACCGTGACGCTATCAAAACCGGGGACGGGATTTGCCCCGGGTGCAAGGAGCCGTACAAGGAGGCGGAATTGAGTGAGTATCAGCAGAGCCAGCCGCTGCCGCTGCCGCCTGCATTGGCGGCCGCGGGGGTGGGGATGTCGAAGATGGAGAGGAGGCTGTCGATGATGAAGTCGAAGTCGATGTCGAGGTCGCGGTCGAAGTCGATGGTGAGGAGTCATAGTGGGGAGTTTGATCACACCAAGTGGTTGTTTGAGACGAAGGGAAGTTATGGATATGGGAATGCGATGTGGCCGAAGGATGGAGAGAGCGGGAGCGATGACGGGATTGCCGGTGATCCTAAGGTGTTCCGTGATAAGCAATGGAGGCCTCTCACCAGGAAGCTAAATGTCTCTGCTGCAGTTCTCAGTCCTTATAGGTATATATACTCTCTATCTTTCTCTTGCCTGTTGTAGGGATAGAGTGTGGCGTACCCAGATAACTTCGGGGAGGCATTGCATTTCCTGCGTGGCGTATCACACTCACTGCGGTGGTGGGACTGATTCATACCTAGACATTGTCAAGGAGAACGAGCAGTCTTACCACCCGAGATGTCAAATTGTTTAAACAGATTTTGGACATAAGTCAGCGTTTTTGTTTATTTTTATTTTACTGTATCTCTTACTAAGTATGTTGTACACAATGGTGAATGTTAAATTCATATATATGCTTTGCTGCTTGTCTTATTATTCTAGATGAACTTCAACATGTGTTCTTTGTTTTGGGTTTGTTTCGTCTTTGACAAGCCAATGTGCAAATGTTAATTCGTTCGTCTCTTTTGTTGCTACTTGATTATTGAATTCAAAATTGCGGAGATTGTAGATTGTATGATTGGACAAGAATTTGGCACTTTGGCATATTAAGATATTGGTAATACACTTGTCTGTCATGAGCTTGGCTTCTATTCGTCCGACCATATTCAGAATTGTATTGATTTACTAGGTTTTGAGTAACATTAGTTCTTTTATTTTCTCTCTTTTTTTTTTCTTTTTTTTTTTTTTCGAGTGTTTGGAACTTCTCTGTCATTGGCACATATCATGCGCTACAGCAGTTTTCATTCCAGACAATATATATAGGAGCTGTTTTGTTGTCCTCAGTTCGTCTTAAAGACAATATCTTGTTGACAATCGTTTTCTTTCTTATTTGTACGATCTTTCAGGTTGACAATCGTTTTCTTTCTTATTTGTACGATCTTTCAGGCTCTTAGTATTTGTCCGGCTGGCGGTTCTCTGCTTGTTTTTGCATTGGAGAATCACGAATCCAAATGAGGATGCAGTCTGGTTGTGGTTGATGTCTGTGATTTGTGAAATCTGGTTTGCCTTCTCTTGGCTACTTGACCAGCTTCCAAAGCTCTGCCCCGTTAATCGCTTTGCTGATATCGATGTTCTAAGGGAGAAGTTTGAAACACCGAATCCCAGTAACCCTAGTGGAAAATCTGATCTTCCGGGCATAGACATCTTCGTGTCTACCGCAGACCCGGAGAAAGAGCCACCCCTTGTCACTGCAAACACTATTCTATCCATTCTAGCAGCTGACTATCCTGTTGAGAAGCTGGCGTGTTATGTTTCTGACGATGGGGGTGCGCTCCTAACATTTGAGGCCATGGCCGAGGCTGCTAGTTTTGCCAACTTGTGGGTGCCATTTTGCCGGAAGCATAATATTGAGCCAAGAAATCCAGAAACTTATTTCAATATGAATAGAGACCCTTACAAGAATAAGGTACGCCCTGACTTTGTCAGAGATCGCAGGCGGGTGAAGCGCGAATACGATGAATTTAAGGTTCGGATTAATGGCCTTCCTGATTCAATCCGGAGACGATCTGATGCTTACAACACTAGGGAGGAGATCAAAGCTATGAAACATAGGCGTGAGAATGGAAATGATGAACTGGATGAGACTATAAAGATTCCAAAAGCTACTTGGATGGCTGATGGAACTCACTGGCCTGGTACTTGGACAGTTCCTGCACAAGAGCATTCTAGGGGTGATCATGCTAGCATCATACAGGTAGTCATATGAATTATTTTCCCTTTTTCTTTGTTTGGTAAAAAAAAACCATCATATTTGTTGATGTTTTGGGATTCTAACTTCAGTTGTTCATTTGGGCCAGATTCATTCTTAACAATTTTACTCCTATCAGATTTAGATGTCTTGTCAAATTTTGATGTCCCTAATGGTGTTTAACCAGCCATATTATGTCACATTATTTACTAGACTCAAATGTTCAAATATGTAAAAATCTGTTAAAAAATATTTTATAATTTGATTGATTAGACACCATTTGAGCACAAATTTTTTTTACATATGATTTGAATACTTAAGGTCAACTAACTTGTTAATAGCCTCATTGCCTTTATTTTAGCAAAAGAGCTTGATCTCTGATTAATCAACTATGTTAATGCAGGTGATGGTGAAACCTCCAAGTGACGAACCTCTTAAAGGTACAGAAACAGATTCAAATTCCATGGACCTAACTGAGGTTGACATTCGTCTTCCCATGCTTGTGTATGTTTCTCGTGAAAAACGACCTGGCTATGACCACAACAAGAAAGCTGGTGCTATGAACGCCCTGGTTCGAGCTTCCGCTATCATGTCCAATGGCCCTTTCATTCTTAACCTTGACTGTGACCACTACATCTACAACTCCCAAGCTATGAGAGAAGGCATGTGCTTCATGATGGACCGAGGAGGGGACCGTATTTGTTATGTTCAGTTCCCGCAGAGGTTTGAAGGAATCGACCCTTCTGACCGTTACGCCAATCACAACACGGTTTTCTTTGATGTGAACATGCGTGCCCTTGATGGGCTTCAGGGTCCAGTGTATGTGGGAACAGGATGCCTCTTCCGCCGGACTGCCCTTTATGGTTTTGATCCTCCTCGCATAAAAGAACAAAATGGTTGCTGCGACTGTTTCTTTGCCCGTCGCAAGAAAGCTGCTTCTGTTGCCTCTGCTCCTGATGTTGCCTCACTAGAAAGCAAATCAGAGATGGGAGATTCTGATGATGAAGAGATGAATATTGCCCTTATTCCTAAGAAGTTTGGAAACTCAAGCTTATTGGTTGATTCTATTCGAGTGGCAGAATTCCAAGGTCGGCCTCTTGCAGATCACCCATCAGTGAAATACGGGCGCCCACCGGGTGCTCTCACTCTGCCTCGTGATCTTCTCGATGCATCTACAGTTGCCGAGGCAATCAGTGTCATCTCTTGCTGGTATGAAGATAAGACTGAATGGGGCCAGAGAGTTGGATGGATTTATGGCTCAGTTACTGAAGATGTGGTCACAGGATATAGGATGCACAATAGGGGATGGAAATCTATTTACTGTGTTACCAAGAGGGATGCCTTCCGTGGCACTGCCCCAATCAATCTCACCGACAGGCTTCACCAAGTTCTCCGTTGGGCCACGGGCTCGGTCGAAATTTTCTTTTCTCGTAACAATGCTCTTCTGGCAAGCTCAAGGTTGAAGTTTCTCCAAAGAATTGCCTATCTAAACGTCGGAATCTACCCCTTCACCTCCCTTTTCCTCATTGTCTACTGCTTCCTTCCCGCGCTCTCCCTCTTTTCGGGCGAGTTCATCGTTCAGTCGCTCAACGTAACCTTCCTAACATACCTTTTGGGCATCACATTGGCACTCATTGCGCTTGCTGTACTCGAGATAAAGTGGTCAGGCATCGAACTCGAGGAATGGTGGAGGAACGAGCAGTTCTGGTTGATCGGTGGCACTAGCGCCCATCTTGCAGCCGTGCTCCAAGGCCTTCTAAAGGTAATCGCAGGCATCGAAATCTCGTTCACTCTGACATCAAAATCCGGCGGGGACGACGCAAACGACGACTATGCTGATCTCTACATCTTCAAATGGACATCTCTGATGGTGCCACCAATCACCATCATGATGGTGAACTTGATTGGCATAGCTGTTGCAACCTGCAGAACAATATACAGTGATAACCCGGAATGGAGCAAATTGCTTGGGGGTGTTTTCTTCAGCTTCTGGGTGTTGGCTCATCTCTACCCCTTTGCAAAAGGGCTCATGGGAAGAAGAGGTAGAACACCCACCATTGTGTTTGTGTGGTCAGGTCTTGTGTCAATCACTATATCTCTTCTTTGGGTGGCCATTGACTCTCCATCAAACAATGGTGACATTGGGGGCTCATTCCAATTCCCATGATACATACAGTTATACAAGTCTTAATACTGAATTTGTTTTCCCACACCATTTTTATTCTGTGTCGATTGGGGTTTAAATATTTAGCATTTCTGAGGAATTCTTTAGGGTCTTGTTGGAGATGTAAATTTAGTTATTATTACTCTATTATTATTATTATTTTTTTTTTATAAACTCTTGTAAGTTGATATATATGTCCCTAGTGGAAAAATTTTATTTGTATTCATCAATTCATTCTTTCTAGTTTTATAGTATGCATATCTGAAAACTAGAGCTGATTGATTGATTGATTCCGTTTGATGTCTTCTTCCATTTTATTTTGGCTTTTAAAACATGACATCTCAGAAAAATACCTAACAAAAAACATTTGAGAATTGACAGTGTAGGTGGAGCTTTTCATTTTCACTGACATAGCGGTTTTACATATTGTATATTATTTTACGTGGTTTTAAATAAATTGATGATATGATATATTCCTTAAATCTGAAACATACTCTGATACAATTGCCATCATATTCAGTTTTTTTTTATTTTTTTTATTTTTTATTTTTTATTTTAATTAGCGTATTTTATGATATTCCACCGATACGAATATCATCTGAAGTCTGAACATCTATACAGTTTTGGACATTTTCATTCTTTTAATAAAAAATGATTATGTTTTTTAGGCCTTATATTATGCAAGGATGGTATGCATGTATTGCGCCTGTATTATTTTGTTCAAGACAGAAGAAACTTGCATGAGTCATATTATTCAATTTAGTTTAATCAGCATTACTAGCTTTGTATTATTTCCATAGACAAATATAGGGTCTCAAAGAAAAAAAAATAAAGACAAGGAATTTTTTGTTTTTTGTTTTTTGTTTATTGTTTATTGTTTTTTTGTTTGTTTGTTTGTTTTGTTATTGTTTTTGTTCTTTTGGAATGAGAACAAGTAAAAAGCCAAATTAAACTAACATATCAAATTCATCCAGAACAATTTGGATGATCAAAGAGGGCATCTAAGGGGTCGTTAACCTTTTTCTTCAAAGAACTTACATCATACAGAAGCTAATTCATAATTGAAATAAACTAAAAAAAAGTTGACCCTTAAATTCATGGCCGTTTAGTTAATTGATTCGAGTTTTTAATTGAATTGAAATGTGACTTTATATGATAGTTTTTTACTGTAGCAAAAAAGTTAAATGTGATTATTTTTAAGAGCTTTTTACTGTAGCAAAACTCGAATTCTAAACTCGAATCGGTGAAATAAATGGAGCCTCAATGTGAAATCAATATTACCCACTTTGTTCAGTATTGTCCCTTTTATTTAAGTTATTTAAATTAATTTATTCTAATAAAAGAACAGTTATAATTAGGAGGCCAACGAGTATATATATAACTATTATAAAGGATTGTTTTACACTTTTTCCTTTCTTAATGCAAAATATTAAAATATTTTCTACTTCCGGGTTCACTACTGATGACCAACTCTTGAGGTGTTTAATTGAAGAGTAATGTTACAGGACATCAGTAGTGTTAAATACCACCATCTAATAAAATGTGGATCTCATAAGATGAGATTCACAGATGAGATCTACTTTTGAATATATAGTGGTGCTTAGCAAGGTGGTGTCCCTAAACATTTTTCTTAATTGAAAATATCTATGTTTGATAAAGGAAATCTTCCGTGACATGTAATATGGTTTTTGAAAAGCTCCTTTTGGTAGCTTTAGGTTTTTATTAATTCAATATATTCTTATAATAATTAATGCTAAGGGATTTTTCTATTAATACATTATTAAGTTAAGAAATCGATCCATAAAGAATTACCACCAAAATCTTAATCCAATCTGTTTTCTGTATGATAGTAAATCTTTTTATTTTTCTCCATTAATTGCTACTGAAAACGAAAAAAAATAAATATCCATAAAAAAGAAAACAAATAAACAATGTCAAGCGAATTATTTATTTATAAGATTACTAAACTATAAAGATTCAAAATGCATAAAAAAAAAAAGCCAAAACAGAGAAAACTTTATAACAAAGCAAACAAAGAGAAAACTGCTAAAACCATTAGGAAACTATAAAAGATAACAAGCAAAAGCTAAATAAAAAAAAATTAACTCCATAATAGGTCTGTTAAAACCTTTTCTAATGAAATCCATGACGAGGTTCCTAATAAATCATGACCTTCTAGAGCAATTTCTCTCTTTTTCTGATCACCGTTGCTAGTTGCATTGCCTGTAGCTTGTTCAAAAAACTATCCTCATTCACCATCCTCAATCACCAGACATTCGTCCTCATAATCATAATCATAATCATCATCATAATCATGATCATGATCACAATCTTCCTTATCATCAGCGTCACCATAATTACTATTATTATTATCGCCGTTGACGGTGGATTTCTGTCAACTAAAGATTAACTCTCTGAGAACACTCACAGTAACCTCTCACGGATTAATTAAGGATTAATGCTACGGAATAATATAGAGAAAACTAGAATTTATAGTGGTTCGGCAAGATTTCTTGGCCTAGTCCACTTGTAGATGCACTAATACTTTGTTGATTACAATCTCTCTGACGTAGTAGAATAGTGCGTAAAAAGCTTAATGAATTCCCATAGCTCTATTTATAGGCCTTGTATACATGAGAGATCTCCTCTACATTTCCCGAGGAGATCATCATCTATCCCTAAATTTTGAGATTTGGCAGTTGATGCGTAATATTTTTGTATAATAAATTTCCGCAAGCGTACGGTGTCAAGTTTTGAGTATAGGGTGAGTGAGTATCATCTCCACAGGGATTGGGTTTAGAATTGCCGTTAAGTGCCGTGATTATTGTAACTTAACTTTATCTAGGCAACCTAATAAGATGATGATTAAGAACTAAAACAAAATAAATATAAGAAAATAAAAATAAAGTATCTATACACAAATGGTCTAGGGACTTGATTTCGCTTTATTATTCCTATGTTCATCCTATTATGTAATCGCTAATCAATTCCGATCAATTTATTAATCAAGGCTCTAATGTTACCTCGCAACCTCTCTCGAGTGCCTCACAAGGAATTGTATTTAAATATCCAAAACAATATCCCTATTCGAAATGAATATTAAAACACAAATTAAGCTTCGCCTTTAGAATTAGAAAATAGGAATATTGATCGCCTCTCGGTCTCACAATGACCTAAATCCTAATTTGATTATCTAACCGTTGATCTCCTCTCGGTCTCACAACAACCTAGACTATGTTTCTCAAATCTAGATAAAGAACTCAATCTCTCTCGAGCATCAAATTCGCAATCTAAAAATCATCTAAATCATTGGCCAAATATATTAGAAGCACTAAGCATAGAGAAACATAAATTAATTGAAAATGAAATTAGATTAACAATCAACAAAATATTCAAAACATAGTTCAAATAAAACTACATCAAGTCCTAGATTTAATGTCTAGCTCAACATGAAAAAATAGATGGAAGAAGATAAAACCCAATATCCATTGAAGAGCTTCCAAGGACCTTCAAGATGAAGAATTTCGGCCTCCTTTTGATGTTTTCTTCAGATTTCCGGGGCTCCCCTTCTCAAATGGCATCTCATTCCTTTTATACTACTCAGTTTCGGAGCTAGGGCTTCATACGTGCACTGCAGCTTGCGTGAAAACGCGCTGCGGCGCGAGTTTTTAGAAAAGGCTCCTGCTGTTGCGGGCTGGGGCGCGCTGCAGCGCGCGGGACTGCCTTCTGGGCGCGCTGCAGCGCGCATTCCCACTCTGGGCACGCAGGCGCGCGCTGTGGGCGCGGGCGCGCAGCTGGTTCGGGCTTCGCTTGGTTTTGCGCACTATAGCTCGCTTTCTTGCATTCTAAAGCCTCCTCTTTTGTGCCTTAAAATCCTCATTCGCCTCCTATTGGCATTGATTCACAGGTTGGGCAAATATTCTTCTTTTCTTCATGCAAAATCATCCACGTTCGCATTTATTTATAATTCCTATAAAAGCAAACAAAAGACATTAAACTAACAAAAATGCTTGAAAACTTACAAATATTCAAGCTTAAAAGTATTTGATTTGTTGGTAAAAATACCCGTCATCAGCAGTTGTATTTTCATGATTACAGCTTCCCGGTCAAGCCAACCACCTTTACCGGTAACCTGATTTCCTGACTTCGACAGTAGTAGTTGGTACAATGTATATTTCCTTGAGTTGACAGGACTATCTTTGGATTGGACTAGGCTGCTACCTCAACGTCGTGGCCTTCACCACCTTGTCGGGCCTCTCAACGCACGTTATCCCGCATGAACTCTCGATGTATAAAGGGTACCTTAGGTACAGTCGTCCCCTCGACGCCAGTGATCGATTCTCGGCATGGAAGCCTCGGCGCTTGTCATCCAAAGGAATGATTGATTGCTCGACCATGGTGTAACAATTACCCCTAGACTGGGATATCACATTGTGATGTTCCAGGCTATGCAACGTCGAGAGTTCTACGTGGCAACTTCTCTCCTGTAGATTACGGCGGCTGCTTGTAGGTACAATGCCATCATTACAGTGAGTTTCTCGGGCAGTGGAGCAGTCTTGTCGATCGTGTCAACAGTCACGTCCCCCATACCCTAGTGATACGTGGCAGTCGAGGGGGAAGTTACAGCCGTCTGATCAGATTTATTTCTCCCGCTCTTATCCCAGCCGCTAGATCATGTCTCTTCAGATTCACTGTTGGATGAGGTCTGTTTGATATCAACGGTCGAGATCTGGGGTTGTTTGGACTCTTCTAAGGCTCCTGGGCTTCTCCCTCGGGTATATATATACCCTTGAAATAGTTTCACGGTCGCCCATTTTTCAGAACACCGTTACTCTGCCGGATTTCCCCCAGGAGTTACCATCTCCGACTTCAACTTCCGCGTGCATTTTCCGTTCATGGTTCACCCTGACTTTCCAGTCTTCAGGCCGTCTTAAGGACTAGTAAGTGCCTTCGTTCCTTTTGTTTTTCCTGCGTGATTCTAGAACCAATGCTTGTAAAAGAAAAAGCGATCTGTTATAAGAAAATGCACTTACTTGGTTGTCGATCGTGAAACTGGGGCTGAGCTTGGGTGACATTGTTCACTTGGGCTCAGTTGCTCTTACTGGGTGTCCTCAGGCTCGTTTCTGGATTCTAGGGACCCCTGCATAAGTTCTCTTTTTATCTTCGCACTGGGTTCCTGTTGGGAATAGTGTCCTAGAAGCATAAGATGTAATAGGATATTTATTATTTA